GGTGGTCCATCTTCTCCTCTTCGGTCCATTTCAACAGCGCAGCCAGGTTCTCGTAATCTATCAGGAATTGCGTGATGTTCGCCCCATCAAACGTCAACTTCTTCTTAGCATCCACTAGGTAGCCTTGATTTTTGTTTAGTGCTCGCGCGAGGGACGACACTATCTTCTTAAGGACGCCCTCGGAGCTGCTGGCCTCGCCTGTCTCACTGTTATCCGGACCATCCTTGCCGGCCTTCTGTCCCTCCCTGGTTTTCGTAGTTCCTTCTGGGTCAAACCATCCCAACACTCTTTCCCTAAGGCTCCAGAGTCCTTCGCATCCTCGCGTTACTGCTGGCGTGGTCGGCAGGCGGCTAGCCCTACTATTAATGGCTGGCGGGGTCGTAGCCTTTTCCACGTCCATCCCCGGGGAGTTTTCCCCTTCTTTCCTTCTTTTGCTCGGCGTTCCCCCACGGTCACTACCTTTATCCCCTTGTCCAGTCCCACCTCGGCCGGTTCTCCGTTCGTCCCGGGGTTCCTCCTGCAGAGAACCTTCTTCGTTCCCAGTCATCATTTCCTCAATCAATCTCGCCCTGTATTCCGCGGTCCTTTTGTCTATCTCGGCTAGTCTGCACCTCGTATCCGTGACTCTTACTTTCTTAGACACGGCTCCCTCCAAGTTCCCCGGGTTTGTCCTATCCTTATTCCTGCCTTCCTTGGTCCCCTGAGTCCCCTGCCTACTTCCCCCAACTTTCCCCGAGCTTTCCCCTGTGGAGATCTCCTTCCGGTTCCCTTTGGTACCATCCGGATTTATCGATTCTCTGTCCTTCTGCCCCCCTTCGCTTTGTGCGGCACTGCCTCCTAAGCCCGGTCTTTCTTCACTCTTATGATTATCTGTCTCCTCCTCCGTTGCCATTTCGCCTAGTTCTGCATAAGCCAAAGAATTCCCAGGACACACGCAATGTGAGGCATTTTAGGTTTCTCAGGCTCCCAGCCCTGTTGGCTTATCTGTATAGCCTCCTTTCCCATCCTCGTTTCCTGATTGCCCTTTCTTAAGGAGGAGCCACGACTGGCCCTGCCGCTCAGCCGAGCTATGAGCGTGACTTGGCTTCCTTTATCACAAGCCTGTTTGTAGTGCCCTTGTCTCGTCGGGCCGATGCGAGGGAGTCCGGGTTAGGCATCCTGCTAGGGAAAGTCTTTCCGAGCAGTGTTTCCTATTTTTGACCTTCAGGGTTGTGGTCAATCATTAGGAGTCTACCCCCTTCTTTGTTTTCCTAATGGGTTTTAGCCATCCAGGTCCGAGGCCCCTCTCTTATCCCTGTCGGCGAACTTCCGTACGCAGCGAACTATACTTGACCTGCCCTATTGACTCATCTACGGAAGCTAGTCCCGCTCTCGCCCTCGCGGCTCTTCTGGTTCGGTAGGCTCCTCGAATAGTTGAGCCACCCCCGTTAGATAATTCTCCCCTATCTCGATTTCCCTTTGGATTATGCGTTCGTGCCCTGCCTGGTCTAGCCAGGGCGCACGAAATATCAGGATATGGATGACCTCCAGTAACTCGTGGGCCCTATTTCCCCAGAACGGCCCATGCCTCACGGCGACATCATAGAACATCCCGATGGTTAGAGAGGGAAAGTGGTCTGCCCACATTATTGCCGAGTCTGCCAGCTCTCGCGCCCTTGCGAGGCTCCCGAGACGAGTTCTATCATAAAACGGGGGACCCGGCACCTCAGCGGCGTGGTTGGTGCTCTGAATTCACGCCATCCCCCCATTTCCACCCGGGTAAGTAAGCCCACGTTCCTTCTACCCCTGACTGATTGTCCTATCCGGGTTAACGTCCGGGCGGCCCTTTGAAAAATCGGCGCCAGCTCGTGACCTTGTGCTATCTCTACCCCCAACGAGTGCCAGCCGATCTCAGGCAGATACATGGTCCCGGTAACTTCCAAATTGGAAAACAGATCGTCCCCGGGTCCTCGGTCGAGTCTCATCCCTGTCCACCGACATTCTACCAACATGAAGGCGGCGTCCCTTCCCAAAGTCACAGCCCGCCATTCTATATCGAACCCCCGATAAGTTGAACTCGACTGGAGGGATACTTCCCAGCGTCCACCGTTATTCCACGACGGTCCGGGGTACCGAGGTTGGCGCGCCATTCGCACACGGGCCTGAAGTTCCATATGATCACGTCTTGCTGCCATGGTTACCTTGGTGATTTCCTGCATGATCCACATAGAAAGTGTTACAGCCAATCCTTAGAAACCGTCCACCTACTGCCCCCTTGTCCTTCGTGTTTTCATTTCCCTTTCTAATCCCAACTACCCCTCTATACCCCAGAGATCATCTATGTAGATCGCGCCCCGATCTACCTCTCGCCGGATGAATCTCCACATGGTCTCATCACTTATTTGCGGGACTCCTGGCCTAGTATTCATCGCTGCTCGTAGAATGCAAAGCACCTCGCCCCCTTGTTCGTCCCCGAAAGGCCCCATCTCTAGAAAGGCCCGATAGTACTCTCAATACATTATTGCTTCGTCAAAATTTAGCCTACTTACGGCAGTTACAGCCTGCTCCACTCGTTCTATGCCTCCCATTCGTCTTAGCAGGAAGGGCGGCAGACTCATCCGTACGATCTCA